GAACCGTTACTTTTTTCCGCTACATCTGTCGCTTTTCTCACCCCAACACCAGGCTCTGGATAGAGTCTTTGAGAGAGAGAATGTGTAAAGAGAAGCGTAGAGAGCACTCTTAATACTGTTTCCGAGCTTTAGAAACATTTAAGCGGAAGCACATAATTCATATATTGGGATTGTGATCATTGATTTATTTGTTGTGATGTCATTTGAAGAATACAATTTATGTTACTTGGAAAACAGCTCCTTTGGTACTATTGATTGGTCCATTCGGGATTAAAAATGCCACTGCAGAAGCAGAACTTTTTGGCAGTTTTATCATCTATGCAGAGGGAATCCTGGTGATATCTGTTCAAGCGACTCACATCTTCTATATCGAAGTCAACCAAACGCTTCAGATAACTGTCAAACCGGACCGTGGCCTCGAAGCGACCCACAGGGGGATTGGTGTGAAAGCGAAGACGATAGATCATAATGTTACCATACATGGACTCCTCGCCATTATCCTCGTTCAGCAGCTTCCGTTCGGCATGATCCAGATCCGCGAGCAACAGGCGATCGCACACTTTGTTATGACCTTTCAAAACCAACCAACGATTTATGTAGAACAGTGTCAGTTTGACTAGGCTATAGGCCTGTGCGTTGAGCTTAACGGCAACGAATTCGTTGCACGTGCACCAGTGATCCCCGATGCAAGCATCCACGCAGCTGCGTTCCTGTGGCAATGGGTGGAAAAGAGATTGACTGGTTGGACAATTTGCCGGCGGAGGAAGATCTTCAGGTTTCGTTGCATTCAGCTGGAGAATGTGGCGCAGCGTGTTGTGTAGATCGTAGGGAGACGACAGGCGGTTTCGATTCAGATAAAGCGACTGGGCATAACTGGGATACGTTTTGCGGAACCAAGGGGGCAAGTAGATGTGCAGCATGGGCAAACGCTCCTCCAGAAACCCGTCTGGTAGTTCGGCCAGATCACCAAATCTCTCACCATGATCGCTGAACAAGATCACGATGGCTTTCTCAAAGATCTCATGTCTCTCTAGTATCTTTAGGTAGTCCATGAACACGCCATCCAAACTGGAAGCTCCGTAATGATAGCCGTGGGTGAAGGTGCAGCTCCAGAAGAAGCCGAAGGCTGGTTGATCCAACTCCTCGATTAATCTTTGGGTGAACTGCATACAAAAATCGTACAGATACGAAATGGCGAGTCGTCTGCCCACACAATAGTTATAGCCAAATCTTCTGAAGGTGTGCATCGACTCAGTGAGGCCCGATAGAAGGGGGCGCAGATAAAAGTCGGTAGGAGCATAGCGAAAGTCGGGTTCGCTTACTGAGAAGACGGAATCTGATGCTATATCTTCCCCGTAAGCCGTCGAGTAGCCTGCTTCCTTGAAGTCCCTCCAAATCCAAGGACACGAACCCTGCTCTTCACATACCTTCTCTAGTTGCACTGGCTTTCCACCAGCCAAAACAGTGCACAGATTTGGAAACGTATTGTCCGCCACTTTGTTGTAGCCTTCCATCTCGAACCAGCCCAACTGTTGCACATATTCGGCAGTCTTTGGCATTGTGCGCTTAAAGTTCATCCGCGACATGGTGTCCAGGCCCAGCATAATAACACTGGGCTGCCTGGGCAAGGGATGGGACTCAGTCCGAGATGTCTGCGGGGTCACTTGCACGAGGGGGAAGGCATCCCGCTGAACTATTCTGGATGCGTTCTTTTCATCACGGCACTCGGCTATTATTCCGCTTATATTCCTATCCAATGCCATGTTCTCTGTCATGTCGACGGGTGGCAGAAGTCTGTGGTTCATTCAATTAGTAATCAATCATTCGGATATGTGTCCCAAGAACTTACACACTGAAGAACTTTCTGGTTGCACCTTTACCGCTTCTCACTTCTTGATAGCTGCAAGCTAGCCCAGTGATGTTCGGATCCAATTCGACAAGCACTTCGGTATTCACATGCATCTTGTATGTCTGTAGTTTCAGATCAAAGCTCAGCGTAATCAGATCCGACTCATTTGTGCAAGTCCTGAGTTTGGCTGGACTGTAAATGGCCAAAGCCTCGTTGGAGAAGGGATCCGCGTAGGGCATTTTGCACTTTTGGCTGTAGACAAAGTATCGCTTCGCCGGCTGTGCTGTCACTTTTGGCTTTCGGTTGGCAAGGAATTCGATATCCATAGCTGTGGTCTCGTACTCTTCAAAAGTCTCGGTGGTGGTCGTTTGTTCCCGCTCCTTCCTTAACATGTAGTACTCCCTGTCCTTCAAGATTTGCTGCTGGGCCAGGCGATACAACCGCTCCGATCGGGGTGTGGTCTCCCCATCGTTTTTGTTCTGATGATCAGCAGGAATCGTTGCAACATCATCCTCGAGATTGGAATGATTGACCCATATGAAAATGAAGAGGAGGCTAAAGAATATAATTGAGCACCTCTTTATTTTGCAAAATGATCTACGTCTCCACATATTTGATCGTCCGTGTTGTGTGGATTCCATTTGGAATTAAAATGAGTTTCTTTTTTTGTTAGGTGATTGGTGAGGGAAGGGATGTTGTGATTTGTGGAAACGAAATCAAACATTAAGCTTTAGGCTAGCGTTGACGAACTCCTCATTCGACTCATCATACTCGTCCTCTCGATCCTCCAGCCAGCCATAGCGCACTTTTCTCTTTTTGTTTGTGTATACATCAACGCCAAGCAAATCGACGACATTGGGTGTCCTCTCGTGGCAGACACACATTTTCTTGGCCAGCAAATCCTCCACACAATACGATTCATTGCGATAGGAGTTCAGTCGACTTATCTCATCCAGTTCAACATTCACATTCTCTGCGTTACCCTTACAGCTAACATGGCATCGAAATTTGCCATTATTCGGTAAGGTGATGAATTCCAATTGAAATGTCTCCATGCCGTTGGTCGGACCAACTTCGACGCCGGCGCTATTAAAGTGCAGCTGGCGCTGGGCTTTCAGTATTTTGCCAACGTACAATTTGTGGCAATCGGTGTCCAGATTCAACTTTGCCATATACTTGTTCATCCGATACACAACAAGTCGGCCCAGTGTGGCGGCCAGGCCCGTGATGGAAACTGGCACAAAGGTCTCGCAGGCGCACCAGTGTATAGGAATATTGGCATCACGGCAGTCTCTGTTGCGGGGCACCACTCGAAAGATGGAACGGCAACCGAGGCAGGAATAGGTCTTTATAAAGTCTATGCCTGGACGTAGCTGCTCCACAATGGATCTGATGCCCAGATACAGATCGAAGTTGGAGGTAAGACGGTTCCGGTTTAGCTTCAGGGCGCGCGCCGCCTTTGGGTAGGCGCGACTATACGAGGGCGGCAGATAAATGTGCAGCATGGGCAGACGCTCCTCGAGAAAGCCCGAGGCATGATTCGCCAAAGCGCCATACCTCGCCCCATGATCGCTGAACAATATGACAATGGAATTGTCAAACAGCCCGAGCTCCTGGTACTGCTCCAAGTAGCTGACGAAACTCGCATCCAGATTGGCGCCACCGCTGTGGTCGTCGTGGGTTAAACTGCTCGTCCAAAATAGACCAAACAGCGGCTTTGGGGATTCGTGGACAAAGCGCTGGATCAGCTGCTTGGCATAGTCATAGACGTAGCTGTAACTGTGCCTGCGGCCCAGGCAGTATTTGTAGCCCAGATACTCCGTCGATTTGAGCACATGCTCGAGAACCACTAGGAAGGGACGCAGATAAAAGTCCACCGGCTTGCGTACAAAGCCAGCCTTCAAATAGTTGAAGGTCGATATCGAGGGCAGGTCCTCCGCATAGGCCGTCATGTAGCCCGCATTGTGAAAGTGATCCCACAAAAATGGAATGTAGTTGAAGCAGCCAGGAGTCTTCAAGTTGCAGCTCTTTGCCCATTGCTTGGGACTGCGACCCGTCAGCACGGCCACCAGATTGGGCAAAGTGTTGTCCCCCACCTTATTGTAGCCCTCCATCTCGTACCAGCCTGCGTGACGCACAAACTTTGAGGTGAGCGGCATTGTCCGATGGAAGTTCATGCGGGACATGCTGTCGATGCCAAAGAGCAGGACATTCGGATGGTTCTTCGCGCGCCCCTCATCATTCGTTTCATTGCGATTTTCCGGATATTGGGCAAAGGAAAAGGCATCGGCCTGCACCACTCTCGAGACGTTACTGATGTCATTGCAACTGGCAACCAAGCCTAAAAAGTGTCGCGGCACAACAAAATCTCTGTCGAAGAGTTCAGCATGACGGGCCCTGCAAAAGAGAGTCAATCATCTGGATGTAATTCATGATTTCCTTCAATTACTCACATGGCAAATGTATCATTAGGGCCCGCCACTGTCTCAAAATAGAAGCATGCATAAGCTGTGTAGTTGGAAAAGTGAGTCTTCATCAGTTCGTGATGCAGGTGCAATGTGTAGTGCCGCTGTTTGCGATCGTAGCTAACGCTGAACAAATCCGGATCTGTTGTGCATTCCTTATAGGGCATTGGCGCTGCCAAGTCTTGAAACTCTTTGGATAGTGCATCCACATAGGGTATCTTGCACTTGGGACTAAACACAAAGAACTTTTCGGCAATATTTTCGAGTTTTTCCTCTATCTTTTCGCTGGTAGATGTTGGCAGTTCCAAAAGGGTTTTGGCTGTAAATTCTCTGGCATGCGAATTGTTAATTTCTGCCACATCCAAGAGAGTTATTGGCTCCACATCTGCGTGCCTTGATGGATCGCCAATGTAGTAATAAAGTGCCACGAACAGCAGCACAACGATGGCACAAATCACACCTTTGCGTGTAAAATTGTATCGAAACATGGCTCGAGTTTGAAGAATTTATTGTGTGTGTATTTATTTCTGTAATTGCAGGGCACACTTTTTTCCCAACTAAGTTGTGGAAGTGTTACCGCAAACATTACCGAAAGGATGATCGAAGAAAACGAGCAGTAACCTCTCAGAGAACGAAATGAAAGAAACAAACCGCCCCATGCAGCAGCGCTCATCGGTTGGCTTGTGTTTTAAGCCTGGAAAACGTTTAATAACATTTCTTTGTACTTTAATTTGTATTCCTAATTACTAATAACTTCTTAAATTAATCGAGATTTGAATGCTCTATGGCTTGAGGTCACTTAAGCAAATGCAATATAATTTAGCAATTTTATCCTCAATGCAGTTGGAGTCTTCCTTGTAAGAATTCGTGCGACTGATTGTCTCCACTTTCACCTCGGCCTTTTCGGTGACGTTGTTAAAGACAACCGTGGCCTCAAAGTCGGCGCTGTTCTGTTGTACCTTGAACTTGGTGCGATAGACGGCCTCCTCCAGTTGGGGCAAGTCATCGTGCCAGCTAATGGCTAGACCCGTTTTGATTTGGGTATTGTGGACATAGTTGAGGGACAGATTGCTGCACAGGTGGGAGAGATTCTTTTCCGCGAAATACTCATTCATGCGAGGTATTACACTCTTGGCCACACGATCCGCCCACTCCAGATCGTTGATGGATCGATATGGCTCACAGGTGCACCAATGCTCATCGATTGCCGCCTGGGCGCACGTTCGGTCCTCGGGCAGTGGGTAGAACAACGACTGACAGGTGGGACAGTTGTAAGATTTGGGCAACTCGCCTCCACCGCCAATCTCAATGATGTGTTTGAGCGTATTATGCAGATCAAAGTTCGAGCTCAAACGATTCTGATTAAGCTCCAGCGCACGGGCATAGCTCGGGTATTCCTCGCGAAACCAAGGCGGCAGATAAATAAACATCATAGGCAGCCGCGACTCCAGGAAACCCGATTTCAGGTCTCTCAACTTGCCAAATCTCGTGCCGTGATCGGCAAAGAATATCATTATGGTGTGTTCGAAGGCCCCATCCATTTGGTAGTCCAACAAATCGGTCAGCACTTTGTTCTGCATGGACGAGGGCATGAAGGGATCGTCGTGGCTGTAGTGATTTGTCCAGAACATGCCCCAAATGGGTCGCTCCTTTACATATCGCTGCATAAACTGCCGGCAATAATCGTAGATATAGCGATTTACCACACGACGACCCATGCAGTAGCGCATATACTGTCCGGGCAGCCGGGTCACCTCTGTCTCCACCTCCAGTGCACGCAGAAAGGGTCTGAAATAGTAGTCCGTGGGCTTCTCGGTGAATCCAGGCTTGAGATAGTTGAACGTATTCGATCCACTCTCATCCTCCGCATAGGCCGTCAAGTAGCTGGCATTACGGAAGTAGTGCCAAATCATTGGCATTTCCTCAAAGCAGCCGGACACATCCGTGTCGCAGATTTGCGATTTGGCAGTGTCCGGTGAATAGCCACTGAGAATGGCAAAAAGATTGGGAAACGAATTGTCAGCGACCTGGAGGGAGAGAAAGAGTGAGAAAAATACTTCTAGTGTCAGAAAACGGAGTGTGTCGTGGAGTCGAACCTTATTGTATCCCTGCATCTCATACCATCCCTCACCCTGCAGAAACTTGTGCACCTTTGGCATTGTACGCCGCAGATTGATGCGTGACAATGAATCAATGCCGTACATTATAACGCTGGGCTTTCGGGGCACCAATGGCTTCTTCATCTTGGGTGAGGGCTCCACTGGCTGATATTGTATAAACACAAAAGCATCGCGCTGCAGCACTATGTGTGGCTCCTCTGCGGTCTGGCACTCCAGCAGCATGCCCTCCACATGCTTGGGTACCACATAGCCGTCCGTAAAGTATTTATCAGCCTTGAGTCTGTAACAGAGACGGTAATTTGTTTCCCAAGAATTTGATTTCATCTTTAACTATTACTTGTCGTAGGTATCTATTTCCTGGCCGTAGCTAATTTCCTCATAAAAACAATTGTACTCCTCGTCGGTAGAGTTAAGCAGATGCTGTGCCACCTCCTGATTGATGTGCAACACATAACGCTGCTGCAACGAGTCGTAGTGGGTCGTCACAAGATCACTTTCATTCGAGCAACCAACATAGGTCTGAGGCTTGTAGATTTTCATGACATCCTCATTGAATGGGTCCACAAAGGGTATATGACACTGGGCAGTTCGTACAAAGTATTTTTGGGGTGTCTTTGGCACCTTGACAATTCGCGATTTCAGGGAAATTGTATTTCTATTTGTCACATTTGGCAACTGATTTCCCTTTGGTATGGACAACACGCAAATGATCAAAAGTAGGCAAAAACCAAATAACCATTTGTACAGTGGATGTGCGGCACGAAAGCGCGAATCCATGTTGTGCCAACGACCACAAATGCAACGCAACTGAAGCGTATCCAATGTCCCGCAAAAGAACGAAGACAGAGGCACTGAGACCTTCTATGTGATGTATAGCCGAATACCTGCCTGATTGTAATAGCTCTTCGAACTGTTATCACATACAAAACTGTGCCCCAGCGGTGCTCTGTTCTGTTCTGCCCTGCTATGCTCTGCTCTGCCCTGAATGCGTAGGCATTCGGTAATTTGGGAACTTGTTCCGACTGCACGTTCGAGTGGGCGTTCGACCACTTTTATCTGCCACTTTCCATAATTGTGACATGCCAGAGCAACTAACAGTCAAAGAAGCATACTAAAGAGGCATTTCAAATTACGTTAGAGATTGTTTTTCGGGTGCAGTAAAACAGAGCAAACGAGAAGGGACGTGTGAGACGCTTCTTACGCGTCACAACTTTTATACCCGGCACTCAGTACTAAATCTGCACCTTAGCGGTGTTTTGTAAAATTTACATTTTTTCTTCATCTGTCATCTACATCTACAACACTACTCACACCAACACGCTCCTTTAGCTCGCCGCCCTTCCCTAACCCACACACTGCAGAGTCGGGGCAGAGACGTGTCTGCGCGAAGCAGAGTGTGAATGAGAGAATGTGCAAAAAACAAATATAAGCTGCGGGACGGTGTGGGTTTAGCCACTGCAAATTAATTTCTTCATTGTGGCCATAATAATTATCCAGACGGACGGACAGACAGTCATGGCTCAATCGACTCGGCTATTGAAGCTGATCAAGAATATATGTGAATATATATGGTCGGAAACGTTTCCTTCTGTGCGTTACGAATGTACATTCACTTTGTAAACAAATACAATATACCCTATTTACTATTCGAGTACCGGGTATAAAAACCTGACCTTTGCATTGAATATTTACCTGGGGTATTCGGCTTGGGGTAGGGAAATTTAATTGTGAATGCAAACTTAGAAACTAAAAACTATGCGTATGAACACGGTACAACAATAATGCTATATGGAATATATTATCTGCCTTATTATATCCTCAACTCGCTCAGGCATATGCAATATAATTTTTTGATTTTATCGTGCATGCATTTGGAATCCGTTTTGTATGTGTTTATCCGACTTATGCGCTCCACATTGATCTCCAGCGCTTCGGTGGCATTGTTGAACAATGTGGTGCCAAAGAATTCGGCATCATTTTCATTTACCATAAACTTTACGCGATAATAAACCATTGGGGTGTCGCCCATGGGGCTGTCCTTTTTCTCCGTTCTGGTGACGTATTTCAGTGTCAGATTGCTGCACATTTCATTCAGTTTTCTCTGCCAGAGATATTCGTTGATTCGATGTATCACTTTATGGGCAATGCGACGGGTCCACTCGCCTTTTACCTCCCGATAGGCATTGCAGGTGCAGTAGGTTTCCTCGATGCCCGCTTGAGCGCAACTCCGATCCTCGGGTATTGGCATCAGCAACGACTGACAGGTGGGACAGTCATAGGCATTGGACACTGCCGACTCCTGCTCCATGTCCAGGACATGCCTCAGCGTATTGTACACATCAAAGTTGGAGCTCAGACGATGCTGATTCAGGGCCAGGGCTTCAGCATGCTGGGAATACTTGCGCCGAAACCAGGGCGGCAGATGAATAAACATCATGGGCAGTGTCTCCTCCAGAAAAGAATCCGGCGCCTTCTGCAGCGGCCCAAATCGTGCTCCGTGATCCGAAAAGAATATCATAATTGTGTGCTCGAAGGCTCCGTCACGCTCAAAGTTCAGCAGATCCTGCAGGATCTTGTGCTGCATTGAAGAGGGCATAAAGGAATCATCATGGCTGAAATGATTCGACCAAAACATGCCCCAAATGGGTCGATCGGCCACAAAGCGCTGCATAAACTGCCGGCAGTAGTCGAAGATGTAACTATTGGCCAAACGACGACCCAGACAGTACTTCATGCAACAGCCAGGACACCGCAGGATCTCCGTGCGATTCTCCAGGGCCACCACAAATGGACGAAAGTAATAGTCCACGGGCTTCACCGTAAATCCCGGCTTCATGTACGTAAACGTGTTGGACTCATTCTCATCCTCAGCAAAGGCTGTCAAGTAGCCAGCACGCTTCAGATCCTTCCATATAAAGGGTATCTTGTCCAGACAGCCCTTGATGTCCGTATCGCAAATGTGCGCCTTGGCCGTATCTGGGAAGTAGCCCGTCAGAATGGCAAACAAATTGGGAAAGGAATTGTCGCCCACCTGTGGGAGGATTACAGGAAGATTTAAAAAGTGGAGAATGGGAGGCTGTGGATTTGGGATGTACCTTGGTGTAACCCTGCATTTCATACCATCCTGGTGACTGCAGGAACTCATAGACCAGAGGCATGGTGCGGCGGAGATTTGTGCGTGAAACGCTATCAAGTCCATACATGATGACGCTGGGCTTTCGTGGATGCTCCTGGGGCGCCACTGGCGGTTGCTTCTGATGCTGCACCAACACAAAGGCATCCTTTTGCAGCACTCTTGGGGGGCTTGATGCTCGACACTCAACCAGCATACCCTCCACAGACACTGGCACCACATAATCCTGACCAAAATAGATTCGATCCCCAATGCTGCGCTTGGGGAAAATCATTTTACACACATTTATGACATCATTGCATGGCAAACTTTACCTGTCGTAATCATCCGCTTTCTCACCGTGTATAATTTGCTGATAGAAACACGTGTAGGGGGTGTTATTCAACTGCAGCAAACCATGGATCACATGCTCATTGATGTGCAGCACATATTGATGCAAATACTTGTCAAATTGCACACGGATTAAATCACTTTCATTGGTGCAGGGGATGAACTTCAGCGGTTTGTAGTACTTCATAATCTCGGGACTAAATGGATTCACATATGGGATACGACAATTGGGTGTCTTCACATAATACTTTTTCGTTTCTAAATCTTCCCTGCCTCGCTGTACAAGCTCATTTTCCTTCTTGCATAAAATTATTAAAATTAACAGCAGTAAAACACACCAAAGCCACTTTTTCATCCCGTTAAATGTACACCGCGCCATGGCCAAAACTCGACTTTAACACTCGGCGCTTGGAAGTTTTCCTTTTGACCCATTTTAGCCTTTAGTTTCAAGCGAGGAAAATCAATTTCGCGGTGTTTTTCTCAGAAGAGTGGCGGTATGACTTAGAGATATCTCGAATGGTTACAGAGAGTTCGATTGACATTAGAAAAAGTTGCAGGCTCCCGCATTTAAGAATTTTGCTAAGAAAGTTATGAATGATCGTTCCACTGACAAGTGTGAGTGTTACTCAATCAAAAAACCATATTTAAAAGCATCACTCTGTGCGGGCTACACTGCTAAAAGATAAAAAGCCAGATAATAGCTGCTTTTTCCAGGAAACCGGGTTCGTTTAATTGTTTAATCGTTGAAAGTATCAAACCCCAGAATATTTTGATTCAATGCCACTCATTATCTGCTGATAAACGCAATGGGCAACGCAGCACAATATAATAAATAAATAAATAGTAACTATGATTCATGCAGAGTAAGTTTAGGTAAATAAATTACCATAAAATCGAGTTGGACACACCACAAAGGTAAATGTTGTGACTGTTCAGAACGGTAAGAAAACAAAAATGGGGCCTCGTTGGAAACTTGTCTTGTTAATTTTGAGGTTGCCATTAGCTCTGGCATTGAAACAAAATAAAACAACGCCACACAAGTCCACTCCATTGGCAGTTGAAACGGAAAAATACTACATTAAATCATCAGAGTGTCGCATTTGGAATGCCCAACAAATGTCCAATGATACCATAGCTGATATAACCAATGTCGACTATAGAGAATGCTATCAAGATGATGATTTAATAAGCACAAGCTTCCACGACAAATATCAGCGTTATATTATTCACATCAACGATCTGATCTCCCAGCTTATCATCGATTACAATTGCAGTTATCGTGAGATCCAAAGGGGCAACAATATCGAACCTGAAGAAGTGCCCTTTCAGGATGGTTATGTGGTGCCGCCGGAGGTGGAGGGCATGATAGCAAGTTGCAGCGATAGCCTCAGGGAAGTGCTCCAAACAACAGCCTTGGCCTTTGTGCAGCCGCGCAGTTCAGCCCGCAAGCAGCCGAAATCTCAAAAATCTCAACGCCGTAGACCCAATGTCATCATGATTAACATTGGCAGCATTTCCCGGCTGAATTTTCGGAAAAATCTACCAGAATTGAGCAAACATCTGCAAATGGAGGGCTGGCACGAGATGCAGGGCTACGGCAGAGTGGCCCAAGGTCTCATACCCAATCTGATGGCCATTCTTTCGGGCTACAGTCCACACACGTGGCAGAACTTGGAATGCCAAGCGAAGAGATTTGGCTGCTTAAAGTCGCTACCTTTGATCTGGAATCACTTCAAGCGGCGTGGCTATCTGACTGCCTATGGAGAGGACATGAGCTACCAGAGTTCTTTTAAATACGAAAAGTCCAGCCTCGACTACTATGCCAAAGGAATCGCCACTGAAATGCCCAACGATTGCACTGGCAGACTGGTGAATCTTCGCTATGTCCACGAATTCTGGCAGCTCTATTTGGAGCGGCATTTGACCATGAAATCTCAGCCACTGTTTGGATATTTTCGAACAAATAGCTCGAGCTATGATCTATTTGCGGATGGCAACATTCTGGAGCCATTTCTTATGGATTATTTGCAGCGCTTTATTGAGCTGGGACTCTTCAAGCACTCGATTGTGATGCTTTTCAGCGATGGAGTAGACATTGAAGACCTTCTGCCCCTGCTGTTCATTTGGCTGCCTCCTTGGTTTCGCGTGGAGCATCCGGAAGCGGTGCAGGCCTTAAACACAAATAGCCAACGTCTGACATCCCCCTATGACCTGCATCTGACTCTCCAGCACATCTTGGAGCTAGGCGAACGATGGCCCCACGCTGTGCCGAAGCTGCAAGACTGTCCCAAGTGCCAGACGCTGCTGGCGCCCATGAACGAGAGCCGCAGCTGCCCGGATGTGGGCATAAGTGATGCTACATGCCCCTGCGACAGCTACAAGCCAATCGATGAAAGGAAAAATAAACATTTGTCGCTAGGTGCGCTGCTTGTGCGGGGCATAAATGACTTTTTGCACCATAGAAACCTCCAAGAGCTCTGCTACAATCTCACACTCAAGGCCGTCACAGCCGTCTCCGCTCGTGTGACAGAGCAGCAGGATTCCAAATCCTACACGGACACCTATCGAGTGACATTCAGCGCACAACCCAGTCATCCAGTGTTCGCCGGAACCCTGCGATATAACCATAAACTGAACGAATTGGACTGTCCGAATGTGGGTGCCATTCGGAGACTGAATTCCTATCGAAAGGATTCCGAATGCATGCAAAAACTGACAGGCAAGAAGTTCTGTGTGTGCAGAAAACCCCTCAAAGGTAACAAATTAAAGGCCCAACTGGAAAAGCACAGCATCAAGAAAAAGGCAGAAACGGAAAAACTGAAACTAAAGCAAGCCAAGCTAACGAAAAATAATAGATATCGAGGAAAAATAAACCGGAGAGCAGCAAAACAACGCAGCAGAAAAAATCATCTAAAAATCATCATTAAAACAAAAACTAAAGAAAAGCTACAGAAAAAAGGAAAATGAAATAGATTTACCAGAAAGATAATTTTCTACCTTTTTTATGTTATTTATTGGTAGAAAAAAGTGTTTTAAAGTCACTTAGTTTTAACAGCTGCCAGAAGCCCATGTAAAATTGATTCTTCACATTAACATTACAATTTTCATGGTTTAAATATAACTTTCTCCCAATAAATCGTATCAGTCGACATTCGAAGATGAACCTGTGCAGTTTTCGTTGCCTTCTGCTACTCGTTTTACTCTTAATCACAATTTCCATGATCGATGGAGCAAAGAAAAAGAAAACCAAGTTTACGGCACGTAACAAAAAAAATAAATATAAAAAGTATTTCTCAATTAAAGTACCCGGAAAGAACCTCGTAACCAGGAAGTCCATGGAACCTGTGAAACCCGTGAAACTAAAGATTTCACTGCAAAAACGAAGTGTGACAAAGAGTACAAATGTTACTAGAAAATATGTACAGCCCATTCAGGATGTTCACGATATTGTTAGGTCTAGCTACGATAGCTTGCGCCATTTGCATCTCCTTCATGTCAACCAATCGGCGGTGAATCTCACTTTGCAGAATTTCAAACGAATGCCAAACGACACCAAGTACACCTGTGGCTATCGCAGGATCAGCACAACTCCATCGGGACTGTACATCAAGGGAAGCCTCAGGTGAGATATTCTCTGAATAATAGAAAAAAAATTGCAGCTCACTCGACAAACATACCTTCAACAGTCGCGCAGTGGAGATTCCCTTCCAGGATAAGTATATTGTCCCGGTAGATGTGCGTGGCATGATTTCCATTTGCAAGAACAGTCTGGGCGATGTGCTACAGGTTCAACCCTTTACCTTTGTCCAGCCCATCAATCAGTCAGAACATTTCCAGCCACAGAGTCAGCGTCGTCCCAGCGTCCTTATGTTTGGATTCAATGGCATGACCGCGAGCACCTTTCGCTCCACCCTGGACGGTATGCCAAGACTGGAGAGCAATATCCAGGGCTGGTTCGAAATGCACAACTACAAGAGAATGGGCGAGAATAGCTACATCAATCTGATGGCCCTGGTTTCGGGGCACAGTCCCAGTGCGATGCACAATCTACCATCGCCTAGCGCCATGGATGCGTTGCCTTTCATTTGGCAGCGTTATAAGGCAAAGGGTTACCTGACGTCCTACGCAGAGGATCTCACGCTCATCCGAAAGTTCCCTTTTGAGTTTGGGCAGAAGCCCGTGGACTACTATCTGCGACCCTTCATGCGGGGCATTGCCGACAGTTTGCATCTACGCAATCGATCAACAGAATACCATGGACTGGAGAGGCGTCTGTATGTGGACTATGTCTACGATTATTGTCAGCAGTTGCTGGAGCATTACCTCAACCATCCACAACCTCTGTTCGGTCTCTTCTGGACAAGCAATTTCGGGAGTTCGGAAAAGCGGGAGCCAACGCTACGGGACTACATCGAACGCTTCGAGCACTTGGGTTTGTTCAGGGAATCAATTGTGATATTCTTCAGTGATCATGTGTGTCATCCCATGCTGTTTGTGTGGCTGCCAGAATGGGTGCGCCAGCAAAATCCCGAAATAGCCATTGCTCTGACAATCAATAGACAGCGCATGACCTCACCCCATGATCTCTATCTCACTTTGCAGGATATTCTGAATTTGGGAGCCAAAGTACCAGCAAATCCGCTGCTCCAACCCGAAGGCTGCCCCACCTGTCGCACACTGTTCCAGGAAATTCCCGAGAATCGCACCTGCCACGAGGCAGCTCGCAGCGAAAACTACTGCGACTGTGACGCCTTCGCGGAACTGTTGCAGGAGGAAGAAGAGCTGCTGCCACTCGGCCAGCTGCTGGTCGACAGCCTCAACGAGTACCGCCTCTCGCGGGTGCAGCTAAGGGATCGCTGTACGGCGTTTACCCTGCAGAAAGTTGAGTCCATTCATCAGCATAGATCCGCCCTCAAGTCGAGCATTGTCCAGTATCGAGTGCGTTTCACTACCCAACCCAAAGCCGCGAGATTCCTGGCCACTGTGCTGTACGATCACGACACCAGGCAACTGGTGAATGTTAGTGTTCCCTCCTTTGGGCGACTGCTGGGATATGTGGATCAATCAAAGTGTGTTGAGGATGAGAATTACAAAAAGTTCTGTCTGTGTAAGCCAGCCAACAAAGTGAAGAAAAATCCCAGGATAATACGAAAAAGTAAAACCAAAACGGGTGGAAAGCAACTTGGAATTGAGCAATTGTTGGACAATTTCAATCAGGAAGTGGATCACATAGAAAAATTCAACACTTTGAAACGTCAACAGATCCGAGTGAAAGTACGAAAGCTGAAACAGAGGCTCGTAACCTCCAGTACAACTTCCGATATGATCACCTATTTAGAACCGAACACCACGCCAATGTCCGAAGTTATCGAAACGCATGTCAATGTTCCTTTTACCCTTAACTTTTGATGCAAAAACTTTCCTTCACGTAGCGTTAGATAAGATAGAACGCCTTGGGAATATAAATTGTACATTTATTTAAACGCTACACTAGATACAATCTTATATGGTTTGTTTGCCAAATGAATCTGACGGATGTCATTCGTGTTCAACTAATGGGCGCTACGCATGTCACACTACAAAATAGACTCTAACATATAAATTGATATCAAAACATCTTTTAGCAGAAAAGTGAAAGCGTAAACATCCTGTAACAGAAGTTTGATTTCAACTAAAATACTTTTCCTGCTCGCATTTCTTTATTAATTTCCGCGGCAAAACCATCGGGAACAAGCCCCCCTGGCATGAAGATATTATGTTTCCAATCAACAGATTGGAGTGGCACGTGCCACTGCTGCCTAACGCTGTTGCCAAGGATGAATAGATACCGAACCCAAAAGTAGGCATGCGTATCGTAGTTTGTACTACCGAATGACTGACAATCCCAATTAAGCTGTTATCAATTGAATGATTATGTCAGAGAGTGTGTAGCCAGTTGTGTTCAGACTTTATAACGCTGTTTACAAATGCATTATGATAATAGACAGCAACCAGCCCCAGACTATCAGTATTAGCTCAGAAGAGACGTCTGTGTCTCTGTGTGTCTGTGTGGATTAAGCGTCATCGTTATCCCCAGTTTGTTGGAGCGCTTTCAAGCGATTCGGATTATATTCTTCCCGTCAGTTCATTACGATAATTTGTGAGCTGCGGTCGTTGCCTTTCCGACAAGTCCTTTATCCCACAGAATGGCTAACAAAAAGATGTTCAACAGGACTACGTCCATTAGTCCGGGACAATTGCATTATTATCACACGGATTTCTATTACTCAATGGCAGACTTGAACAGTAAGTTGAAGGATTAAATTAACTCAAAATTTGTTATCCCACCATGACCCATTGCTCTATGTCAGAATGAGCAGCATGATTCGGGTTTTATTCAAATATTTCTCTGTTTTTATCAGACGGCTTATTTCTTTGTTGTCTTTGTTTTGTTGCTTCTCAAATATTGTCTGTGTTATCACCTCTGAGTACGTTTTAAAAATATTTGTTTTACCATATTTACCGTTCTTGGTATTAACTTTATTGGTTCCTCATAAAATCTGGCATGTTCGGCTTAAGTTGGGGGACTTTTTGAGCATTATTTGTACAAACTACTAAATATATAAACCGCATTTATTTAATTTTAATCTTCAGATTTGTTAATAAATTAATTTTCATAAAACAATAGACATTTATGTTTACCGTAATTTGTTTTTGAAGAAATGTTCACAAGAGATGGGAATATTTTGCCCATGATTTTAATTTAAATCTATTGCCAAAAACAAATTTACAATCATAAATTCTTTCTATAGCTCTAAAACGCAGCTTGTATAAAATCCAATAAAACAATTCAAATACATTTTCAAAAACTACATACCAACCGCCCTTGGCCATGTTTTCCATCCCTCGAAAAACATAGAATCGCCACCAACTTCCCGTCAAAACAAAAACTGTTTTCACTCATATTATCACGGCGCAGATGTTAAGAGAGCCGAAGCCGAAGCCGAGCACAAGAGAGTATTTTGAGCGCCTGTACGCTCACTCACTCATCGAGTTTTATTATTAAAAAATTTCCATTGCAACAGCTCTTGAGTTCATTCGAAAAATTGCTTTGAAAGTGAAGTGTTTTGTTTTTTTTTATGCTGCGTCTCGTCGGGTAAAAATGTCGTAATAATTATTTTCTAGTTCAAAGTTTACTTGGGAAAACTTTTAACAATGTGAAAATAGTGAAATGAAAATGTTGGAAACATTTAAAAATAGTTTGAAACAATTTTGATGCAATTTCCAGAGCTAAACACGAAGCGTTGAAATAGACAAGAAAATGGGAGAGTGAGTGAGTGCATTTTTCCGAGATAAGCGAGAGACACAGAGAGAGACAGAGAGACACGCAGGCATCCAAGAGAGTGAGAGCACCTCAAACATTTGTTGATTAAAATGTGTGTCAATATAAAAAAATAACAAATCGTAAAATCGGAGAATCGGACTGATAAAAATGCCAGAGAAACGGCACGTATGATTAGAGAGTCGAGACCGCCCTACCCCACACTCACACCCGGAGACAAACACACGTGCATTTAGCTAATTTTGGATATCTTTAGGCGAGGGAAAACCCAAATAAAATACCAGAATAGAAACTGCACAGTAGAGACAATGCCAATGGCAATATAAACAAAGAACAAGAGACGCGAATTGCAGGCGAAATTCTTTGTTAAATTTCACACTTGTCACAACGCAAAGCGCGCAAATCGGAACGATAGGGAACAACAAAAGCATGTAAGTGGAAAGTTACAATAAAAAGGAAAATGTATCTGCACAAGCCGAAGCTGCAAATACCCCTTAAGAAAGTTAGTTAGGACGGGCTATTTCTAGCACAAAGAACAGCAGTTTGTTGAGGTTTTGCTTAACATTTTGTATACTTTGTATAAAATATACTTTTGTATACTTTATGCCACCCTTTCTGCCCTACAAACATATACGCCATCCAAAGCCACTTAAAAATTTATAACCATCTGTAATTTTTTTACCAGTTCACATGCCCCAGAAAAAAAGAATTGCTAGAAGCGAATTTCACTTTATAGTACAAAAATTGAATTTGTTTGATCTTATTGCACTGCCATGTCTTAGGCCTTAGCATAAAGGCCTTCAAATGAATGTTTGTCTTGTTTTTGAAACTAAACGAAAAACCGGCTGCTCTGAGGGGAAAATGCCATGACTATGCCCCGACCCGTCACATCACGACACACAGCCATAGCCAAATAAAAACCTGTCGTGACTGGTTTTTTTTTTGTGGTTTTTTTCCTGTTGCTATGAAAATGCTAAAAACCAAACAGAATTTTATGCAAAGTTTAGCTTGAAAAATGTAAAAGAGATGTGGGAAAATTATGACAATTGAAAAGAGCATTAAAGAACAGGGAAAGAAAAGGGCAATACATAGACAGACCCTTGGATTAGTGCATTTTAAAGAGAAAGTTAAAGGTTTTTGCTGTTGTGTGTTTTAGCGGTAATCAATTCTGTGGCAATCAACTTATAAACCATCAATCACCAGCAAGACTGGAAAAGTATTGTTCATTCCCAAAAGTAGGACAAAGAGTCTGCTTAGACTCGGACTTGGAAGTTCTTATCACATTCTAGTTGCCGCCTAATAAAGTTTGCTTTGCTTCACTCTCCAATCAATTTGAATCAATTTCCTAATCTATTTTTAACAAATCCAGACAAAAGACATAACCAAATGCTCTTTGAGTTTCTTGAAAGAAATTATTCAACTCTATAATTTCTGTAGATTTTTAGCCCGCAAATGTTTTCTTTGATAGCAATTTGCTTGTTTTATTTTTATGATTTGGTCAACATCTGAATTGACACTCGACAAAAACGTGACATGATGAAAAATTACTCGTGTGTGCCATAAATAAAATGTGAAATATATAAAGTTGATACCCGAACGAGCAGAAAGCCCGTCGCTTGACGCTTGATAAGCGCAGGGGCCAATATAAACAGCATTTTTCATGAGGGAAAACATGGCTTATCAAGCATTGGCATCAATAGGTAGACTGGTAATTAGCAGAGGCCCCACGATAAGGCCATCAAAAAAGTAAGGAGGACTGGGGGAAAATAGTGCGTAACCAGGAGAGATTAGAAGATTGTGGACTAAGCGCTCTTGTATAAACAAAACTGTATTTGGAGAAGAAGTAGAAGAGGCAGAGATTTCCACAAGAAGTCGAATATTCCCAGGGCAAAATTATCTCAACGCTCCATTTTTACCCACTCCGCTCCTGTGCCTAAATCTTAATCTTTTGCTAAAAACTTAACAAAGATAAACAAATGTACTAAACAAAGTCAAGTCAAAAGAGGAATATACAGAGAGAGCAAGAGAATGAGAGAGCGCAGTGGACATGATCGCTGCTAACCATCGATCAAACAGCGTCTGTCACTTGCCATTCGATCGGCCATCGATCGGGGAGATGTCCGATCGAATCTTGTGAATAGCTTGGTTATATATTTGAACTATATCAATATTCGTTTGCGGGATTGTTGATACAATCGCTGACAACTACAGTCTCTCACACACACTGCGATAAAAGTAATGGAGGAGGCGAGGGAAATGGCAATTACCAGCCGCAGTCACCAGTCCTCAGTCTAATTTGATAATCTCACAATCAAGACAGTGTTCCACAGACTTTTCTACCGATTAGACGTGCTTCCCAGTGGAATTTTCATAGCACAGAGGAAAATACAGACAGACAAAATGCAGCCTCTGACAGAATATCGCTTTGAAGGTGTATTAAAAACTCTAACCATTTCCGTTATCATTAACTTGTATGCGAATATTTATCTTAATCGTTTGTTGTTTAATCTGTCTTTCTTTTAGAGACCCGCAAAATGCACGGCGTGAAGCGGGTTCTGATCTTCTGCCTGCTGATTGTGATACTGCCGGCCACGCTGATAATTATGCCTCTGCACCTGCGCAAAACGGTCTTTGCCGATGTCGTCTACCCCATGGCCGAGTCGGATATCATTGAGATCCGTGCTGGCATCTCATCGATCTTCTGCTCGAAGCACACCCTCAAGATGACGTCCAGCTTTAATGCTTTTCAGCTGCGCAACAAGCCGGAGATTTCCACAAATCGCAAACACATTCGCCTGAAGAAATCGATGACCCTGCCCGACGACACCCTCGAATATTGGGGCTTCTTTCTGCTCAAGGGCGCCAATGTGAGGGTCAAGTTCTGCTCGCGCTATGATGGATCGCGCATATTGATTGTGAAGGGCCAGAGGCAACTTAATCTCTGCGGCCTGACGGATCACAACAAGAACAAGCTGGGTGCCAACTATGCCAAGGGACACGAGCAGGTCAAGGTCTTCTTCGAGGACAAAATGGAGTTGGAAGGCCCCTCCGCGCCAGCACCAGAGGGCGGTGTGCTTGAGCACGAGAACCATGGCGGCGAGGACTTGAGCGAGGAACGAACACCACAGCAGCAGCCATTGGATCTACCCTCTGGCTTGACTCTTGCCGGACCCTCCACTGCCACCACCTCGCACAAACCCATAAGAAAGAAGCTCAAAAAGGGCACACCCCATCTGCCCATCCCACATCATCCGGAACACAGTGAGACTCCGGGCACACCCCAGCAGCACGAACTCACTGCCGATGCAGTTCAGCACAGTTCAGGCGACCGAGTGGTTGCCCCAACGCCAAGTGTGGCGCAACAGAAGCGGCAGCGAAAGAGAGAGCTGTATGAGCGACTGTACAACCGCTCAAAGCGCGAGAATGTCTACGACCGGAAGTACAGTCACGGCGGCAATGCCGTCAACTTTACAGAGACGGACGAGTCCAACTCGGTATCCAGTTTCGAGAATGGTCTATTCCTGTGCTTCAACGGTGCCATACTCCTCAGTGACTTCTTCAAGCCGAACGCGAACTGCACGGATCCGCACTTCATGGAGCGGGCGCCCAACAACAGCGCTCAGGCCCTGCAGAATGTTATCGAGGATGGTTACTACTATTATATATTCTATAGCGACAACGATGAGGTGCGAAACGATATACACGTCATATTCGATATATACAAGCCGACGTTCCAGTACTCGAACCTGAGCGAGTCGCAGAGCTGCCTGAACACCACGGAGTGCAGCTTCAACATCAGTTTCCTGTCGGATGAGATTGTGGTCGTGGAGGTTCCCACACGGGATGGCATCGAACATGAGGAGGATGACATATCCTATCTGGTGTCTACGTGCCATCCGCGTAGCGAAATCTATGCGCTGTTTCCCATCACAGTGATGATTCTCATACTGTGCTGCTCATTCCTGTAGGCGACTCCGACTTGTGACTCCCACTTGTGATATTTATATATTGAGGTAACTGAGTGATATACGAAGAAGATGTGAGTATGTATGATATGTATTTGCCGGCCCGAAACTAGAGCTTTTCACATAGCCATAAAATTCAACAAAATCGATTTACGGAATGAAACAGTCTGAACAAACATAAATATGTAGAAAACAAATCACTGAATACGATGGATCTATCAACGTTTTTTAAGAGAACATTTAGTCAAAGACACAAGCATTTAGGAGTATAAAAATCTATAGATGATATATAAGAATAGTTCATAAGCTAGCAATCGGAATTAAGGAATTACCTAAGTACTTATAATCAGTTTTAATTTCAACAAGATATATTTGATTGTTTTCTGTAAATGTTTCCTTCGAAATTTGCATCGAAAGTTTAGTATTTTGTACTGAATTTAACTTAAAAAACATTTTGTTTAATTTTCCTTATATTTAAGTGCTATATTTCCTAATTTTTCCTTCTTCAACTTCACTGAAAATGTAAAAATAAATAAGGAGAATAAAACTAATAAAGTCCCATACGGTTTCCATATGAAAAATATGCCACAAAATAAATGGAATAAAGTGGAAAAATAATGGGCAAGAATAAAGTAATAATTGAATTATATCTGCCTGTCATTATCCACATGGAATGACTGTTTCGTTTTCGGGGGAGTGGCACACTTTGGGACATAATTTTCCATTCTAATTTGAGGGCGCAAAAGCCCATTTGTTGGCTTTACTTATTTTAAATTAATTCACATTCAAGTCAGTCGCTCGCTGCCTGTTTGCAGAGAGTATTATGACAGGCCATACTGCAAATATTTACGAGATATGTGTATGGATACGTGTTTGCAGCTCAGCAGCTCAAAATAAATGAATGGAAATCCACAATATTGTCATCAGAAAGGGTTTCATTTCATTATTTTCCACCCGTTGTTGTGTGGAAAAGTGTCTTGGCGAGGAGTGCTATTAAATGAATCCCCAATAAATATTTATAAATAATAAATAAAAATAAATACGTAAGTCGATAAAATATTTGAATATTGATTTCAAATTTAACGTTCGATCGCTGAGTGCACTGTGACAGAAGCTGGTTGATTTTCCACTCGACATACACCAAGCCATCCGATATGTAGATAATCATGTATATTTCATGATATTCATGAATTCATAATCATGATCATTTCTGGCGCGGCAAATGTTTATCCATGAAAACACACTTTTAAACTTGTCTTTTGCATTGACCATTACACACATTAACACTGGACAATTGTTCGGCATCATTTCTTGATGTTTTTTCACTATTTCGTTCGGTTTTTACACTGTTTTCTGTACTTTCACTTACTTTCTTCATTAAACCGCGCTTAGTACCAGTGTAAATCCACGTAAATGTAAAATCCATCGAAAAAATAACGGAATATTTGTCGGTGGACTGGTATCCAAATTATACCCTATACAAATTATTGAACATGATTGAACACATCTTTTAATTGAAATGGCGAATAGTTTCTTATCGTAATTGTTGCGCAGGTGAGTACATGTGTAATATCTTATCTGAAAGCACCGATAGATAGCAAACATTCACTGAAAATAGATCAGTTAGAAAGTTACCCAGAAAAAAGAACCCAAGGGTACACATATTGCCCATAAAAAACATTTCAAAAGATTTCCCACTCTCCAGGTGCTTCATTAACCTAGACAATGTTTCCAAAGAGGCTGCTTGCAGCTTTATTTGTAAAGGAAATAAACATTTCCACGGAATTAAGGAATTAAAATCTACATTGAAATGTCTAACATATCTAACATATTTGTCCATGCGTCGTTTCTTCTAATCATTAATATTTTATTTATAGTCTTTTTCCAATCAGTATTCAAGTTCCCTTAAACCGGCTCTTTGCCGGCAATTAATTTTCACTCTCCATTTTTCATTCACTCATTTTCCTACCCTTCTGACATGCGCATTGAACGGGTATTTTTTGGCTCACCCTCTCGCAATGCAATCTACTTGCACGGTGTATTAATATAGGGTGACGCAATCACAGGCCCGTCTCTATATCGCTCTATCGCTCGTTTAGTGCCTGCTCCCGAATCAAAAGAATTCGTGCGATGAGAGCGACCTAAGAGTGAACCACACCCTCACTCAATCTACTTTGGAAGCAAAACTTGCTATTCTCTCCGTCTGTCAGAATTTCGCGCCCATTTCTCTTCGTCGGTTCAGCTCGCGCGTTTAAGTTTTCGGTAAATAATATTAATTAAATATTTTAAGTGCCTCGCTGAATTCAAAATGAATGAGAGGGCAGGCAATTAGATTGTTAATCAAACAACGTCAGTGCAATAGAAGGCAGGCAAACGAGTCCGAAAAGGATTGCCGTCGTCCTGCGCGGGGAAACATGTAAGAGCAGAGAGGATGTGCAAAAAATCAATTTGTAAGTAACGGCGACGCTGCATCAAGAAATTCTCAATTAAAATGTAAATGAAATGAAATTTGTGCATAATGTAAAACCATTCTGTCAGCATATATTTTCGGCTGAGCCCAGCGTGCGTTGTTAGTGTGTCAAAACGAAAACAAAACGACAAAAATATGTACATGCATGTGCACAAAAGTTCAGCCGAAACCAAAGCAAATGGTAAAAACACAACAATTTTGCATTCAGAATAGCCGAAAAAAGCAAACGCAAAGTGAACAAACGATAAAGAAAGAAACGGTGAGATTCCAATTGGAATGCAAGTGAGTGGAAGAGGAAGGAAGACAAGAAAAAGGACGTCGTAATAAACATTGCCCTTTATTGAATGCAAAGTATATCCATTCCATAAAGGAACTTGTGCTTTGAATATATGTATGTGTAATGAACTTTTGAAGGTTTGTTAGAGCTTTAATTGTCTTTGAGTGTAGTGTAACTTTGCCAACATTACTGGAAATTGTAGAGGGTGCAACAGGTTGCTAATATAATAATATTAATTAAAGCCAACCATCCTGTTGCTTGTATGAATTGTAAAAGCCAGCTGCATCAAAGTACGTAGTTCAACTAGCGCAATCAAATTAAATATAATGTCCCTAGTGTATATCATATTCGATGTGCTCTGCGTTTCATAGTTGTTGTTATTTTTAATACGCTGTCTGTCATTCCCGCAAGCAGCTGCCCTTTGCTTCTCTTTCTCTCTCTCTCCCTCCGCTGCCATTTCCGTTATGCGTTTTGTCTGCTCGTACCGCAAGTTCCCCTCGGTGACCATTCCAGGGGTGATTTGCCTTCGGTAGAACTGCATTTACTTCAATTTATTTGGGGTTTGCATGTGCTACTCGTATGGGGGCGGGTCACTCTCTTAGTCCCAATTCGACTCTGTCTCTCTCTTTCAATTGCTGCACATGTGATTGTCTGACGCCTCTCCGATTAAGTGTTGTTGGTGCCTCGTTCCCATCATATTTTGAGAAGGGGGGAGCGGAGAGGCGGGCCTGCATTACGATTGCAGTGGCGCAGAAGCTGACACTGATAAGCGAGCATCTCTCGCTCTCTCAATAATGCTGCGCGTGCAGCTGCCTGTCCTACAGGGTAGAAGCTGCAGGCCAGGGCATATTATAGTGTATCACATGGACAACTCTCAATGCAATGTTGCATAACGTTCGCCTCACACATACAGTATCCCCATATAATTAGAGTACTTCGCATGCAAAAAGCGTTAGAGCGATAACTGACAAGGCCAGGTAAAAAAATTGTCATCGAAGAAGTTCGTATGCACCGAGACAGTAAAAGAGGGTATCGTATGTTCCGTATACGTTAGCTCCTGTGCCAATGACGTAGCCCCAATTATTATCCAATTAAATTCGCACTTGAGCATGTTAGCTAAGCCTCTGATTTGATTCGGAGCAATAAACCACGCCATCCCCCCCCCCCCCCCCCCCCCCCCCCCCCCCCACCCCCCATACCAAAGGTTCACTGCAGTTGC